TCCATTGATATTTCTTATCAAACTAATTAAGAATGGAATGAAGTTTTGGGTTACACAGAACTCTTGAATACCTGAACACATGAAGCTGCCTTATACTGAATCAGACTAACGGTCCATCAGAGTCAGTATTGTCTACTCAGACTGGCAGCAGCTCTCCAGGGTCTCAGGTCAAAGTCCTTCCCATCACCTACTGCCTGGTCCTTTTTTAGCTGGAGATGCTGGGGATTGAACCTGGGAACTTCTGCATATCAAGCAGGTGCTTTCCCACAGTCCCTGAACTCTTGTTTAGACACTTCTCAGGAATCTGTGGTGGGGTACCAAAAACTTCAGATGACAGCCTTCTGTTAAACAGTGTGGCGAAAATGCACACCGTGGTTACACAATTTTTAAAAAAAGACTTAGCTGAAAACATTTGAAGTTTCTGCTTTCTGTGCTTTCAAGGCCCAAATAACTCTTTTACCGCTGTCTCTTGGGGATATAAAAACAACTCTCCACTCTACTTATGTACAGGCAGAAATGCTGTCAAGCGGCAATACAGATACAACTGTTAACATTTCTCAAGCTCTACAGAAAGGGCATTCTCAGAACACTGCTTTCCAAAAGTAAACATGGCTTTCATCTGGCTACATTCTTCCAGCCAGCTTGTGCTAGCATAGGTTCAGCAAAGGGGGTCCCATTACCCTCTGGCAAAATAAGATTCAGGCAGGTAAGCCTGTGTTGAATCTGCCATCCCATCACATTAACAATCTCCCTTTATAGGTTCTTCCAGTTCACTATGGTCAACTTTTTAAAAAAATATTTGTTTTTATTAATTTTTAACAGCGTAAACACAACAAAATTAGACACAAAGAGCAATTACCGGCTCAATTAAACAGCTTTTCTTACATAACTCCCACAGTATCACAGTAAAGTCAAACATTTGTATAGACTAAGTACCAAACAGTTAAAAGAACAACAGGTTCTTGTATAGCGGGGGTTTTGGAACTGTTTCACTATTTTCTAAATAACTAATAATATGAAATCATACTGCCTGAAACCACTTTTGGTATTTCTCTGATTGCACGGCTGATGCACGGCTGAGGAGTTATAAGAGGTGCTCCCATAAATAAAGCATTCCCAGATTTTAGTCTGCCAACATGTTATTGTTGGAACATTTTTTTGCTTCCATTTTTGTGCAATTGTTAATTTTGCCAACATCAGTAAGGTCGATACTAGTGTTTCCAAGCTTTTTCTGCTCACAGTTGTACGCCATGTCTCCAGAAAGAAAGATTCTAAAGTGCAGGGTAAGACAGTATCAACTATTAATGCAATTTGTTGTATTATCTGTGTCCAGTAGCCTTTTATTAGTGAACAGGACCACCAGCAGTGCACAAAGTCCGCAATAGCACCACAGTTTTCCCAACATTTGTTTGAAATCTTAGGATTTATCTTGTGTAAGACTGCCGGGGCCATGTACCACCTATTTAGTATTTTGAAAGAAGTAAACCTGATGCTGAAGTCAACTTGACAAGCAATGGAAACTACGACCCAAATAGTCATGATTCTGTTCAATTCCTGGTCCTTGTTGTACTCGATTCACATCAGGCAGCAGTGCTGGTCCTGGAGTAATATTGGTCAACAGGAAGAGGACCTGTGCTGCCTCACCCTTCACCTGGGCTGGCATTACTCACACCCAGGAGTTCATGCTTATGGCGGATTGTGTGTGTGGATGACTGCCTCTCCCATCACATTGCCATCAGGTTCCAGCATAGGTCACTTGGAAGGTGGTTGCAGCTATGATTGTGAAAGCGTTCTGGATGCATGTTGTTACTTGCTGCCTGATCCCGTATTCTGTTTGTAGTTCATTTTTGCATGACTGTGATTTTCTCTGGAAGTACTTCCATTGCTACTGCACACGGCACATCAAAAACAAATGACTCCATTCCTGCCTAGCTTCCCTTGACTCAGGATTTGCATCAGATTAACTAATGTCAACAATACCAGGCGACTAACAATCAGAAGCTGCAGCATCAGATATACTGATGATCGTGGTAGAAAATATTACACTTGAGTGTTGACTTTGGCCACTTCTGTACTGTCATTTTTGTCACTCATTTGTCCCTATTTGCTTTGCGTCCCCTCCCCCCCCCGTTTCCACATGTGTTTTGCTCCATTTAATTAGCTGGCGGGCCCCCCCAAGGCCCCCTCCCAAAGAATTCCCTAGCTATGGGGCTGCCCCCCCCGTTTCCACATGTGTTTTGCTCCCTCTGGGTCTACCACATTGCTCCTCGCTTTCTCTGTCATCTGTGTATGCCAAAGTCGGGGACCTTGAATTTCTGCTTTAATGGAGATTCAGGTATCTTCCTCCCTCCAAATGCCCATTCAGGGGTTTTCACTATGTCACATGTTGAAAATACTGATCTATAACCAGGCCAGATTAAAGGTTTTTATGCACTTCATCCTTCTTGCGCTCCTTTCAGTGTCCACCTTCCAACTTGCCACGCTGAACTCTGGCCATCTAGGTGCAAAGTGGTGGTAGGCCATATGGGCATCGGGTTGAGTTGTAATGGGGCCCTTCTTGTTCTTCCGTGTGCTTGCAGTTCCAAGGCCAAGTCAATCTCCATGTCTTTGAGGACTGGTGTGGAAGCTCTATTGAGCAGCTGAGAAAGAACATCCACTTCCCATTGTACCCTCATGTGAGTATTCCATAATAGACCATGTTGTTTTCTTGTGCCAAGTGAAGAACAGCCATATTTTCTCCATATGTTTTGTATTGCTTCCTAGTTGAGAGCAAACTGTGTTTATTTATTGTCCTCTAATGAACCATCAAACCATTGCATTTTTTTAGAAAACCCATTGGGGAAGGCGCCTGAACCCGCTGAAATTTGTCTCCCGAATGTGGTTAGATATACATATCATTTAGGTTTAAATCATTCTGGATCATTTCTGGCTGGCAAGAAGCAATTTTGTAGGAGTAAAATATTCTGTTTGTTACATTTGGAACTGAAGCTCCTTTAAGGCTAGCAAGGCCATTCTATCTGCCTTAATTTACTATTAAAAGAGTCATATATATTTGTAGTACTCCTTCCCTGTAGGGAACCCAGTCGTACATAAGAGGCTGCCTCCAAAACTTCCTACTGCTTAGAGAAACAGGAAGCATGAAAACTATGTGGTCTCCCCAAATCAGCTGTCCATATTCCAGAAACATAACGGGGAATTAAGGCATCTTAAAACACTAACAGATTTACTGAGAATAAGCTTTTGGAGACCAGAGTTCTCTTTAACACACTAACAGGGTATCCTGTGGAGAGTTATTCTGATCTAAACCCATTGAGTTCATTAGGTTTAGACTGGAGTTAACACTGCACAGCACTGTACTGTAGTACGGCTATCTGCCTTGTGTTTATTCCTATTCCAGATTATGTGACTCCTTTCTCCTTTGTTGTATTGCATTTTATACTTTCTCCTCTCCTTCTCCAGAGATACTCTGCTCTCTGTTTCTTTATTTTCCTCCATTTAGTGATTTTATTTTTTGCTTTTTTTGTACTTTCAGATACGGACCACTTTAAAGAAACTGGCAGCGTCTCCAAAATGGACCAACTATGGGTTGCGCATATTTGGCTTCCTGCATCCACTCAGTGATGGTGAGGAGAGGCTAAAAAAACAGGCTCACATTGGAGGAGAGCCGATGGAAACAAAGATTTATTCTCATACACATAACAGTACATCTTTTTATTTTTCATATCCATAGTTTTGAAGCAGGTTCATCTTTATTCAGTCTTTTCTTTTGGCTTATAAACAAATGTATTCAGGCCTCTCACAAACAAAACAAGTGTTTCATCTTTTCCCGTATTGCCTTTCCCCCCTTTCTTCAAAGAACCACAGCATTCTTTATCACAATGGTAATGTTTCCTTCATAACGACTTCTTTCCTAAACGTTCCCTTCATAACAACTTATTTCCTAAATGTTTCCTTCATAACAACTTATTTCCTAAACATTTCCTTCATAACAACTTATTTCCTAAACGTTTCCTTCATAACAACTTATTTCCTAAACGTTTCCTAAACGGATAAAGAAAAAACTAAGATGCCTTTCAAAATGGCCGCCATTTGTAGGGGACTGTATTTGCCTCACAGAAGAAGCCTTCTACTGAGTCAGACCAATTGGCCTTTCAAGGTCAGTACTGTCTAGGCAGAGGCTCCCTAGGGTTTCAGGTGGAGATCTTTCACATCAACTACTGCCTGTGGTACTACTGAGCCATAGCTCCACACATACCATGATCTGATTTGAAGCATGACTATGGGAGCTTTTTACACCCCATTTTGGTGCTTCAGCTCGAAACTGGAAATAAAAGGAACTTGAATCGGGGCAGGGGGGTGTTTCCATGATTTTATGTAATGAGATTGCCCCTTTCTAACAAATCCATGCTCCTCAGCAGATGTGAGATCAGATGCTAACCTCTTATTTACCCAGCTTTTTAATTAGCAGGTATAGGATCCAGCCCCACTCAACGTTCCCTCTAAGCTCTGGAGTCTTGTGAGCAAAAATTCTACTCCGTGAGCTACTGGCATTAAAGTTGTGAGCAAGCGATTTGGCCCCTGCATAAATTAGGCCACTGGGCTCAAACTTTGTTCTATGACAGTTGAAGCAGCGTGATAGCCCAGCTAGACCAGTCTCATCAGAGCTGGGAAACTAAGCAGACAAAAATGTGTGAGCCGGAGGCTAAGAAACTGTGAGCTAGCTCACACTAACTCAGCTTAGAGGGAACACTGGCCCCACTTAAGCACTATTAAGTCTCACTGATATTAAAGACAAAAGTAGTACCAATGGGTGGGCACCAACAGGGATTTTATTGTTCTTAACTTTGGCCAGGTTGCACCTACCATCGCTATTACTCCATTTATCAATATTGCCTTATGTAGACTTTGTATTATATGGTCTTACCAGTGTTTGTTTTTGGTCTGCTTACTGTTTTTAACTGTACGTACTACCTAGAATGTCTTGCAAATAGGCAGAATAACAAGGATAGAAATTGTGTAATTAAACCAATGTGAGCCAATTCAAGGAAACAATTGTTTGATATTTCCCAATTGTATCTAACATGAGGGTAGGTCTTCACTATATAATTATATCAGTTTGACTGCCATTGTTTTCTCTCAGTCAGTTGTAACACTGCAAAGAATTTAGATTCTTTAGGGACAACTGTGGAGTTCTCTTTAACGGAGAACTATGACAATTAAAATTCAAGAGGGTAGCTGTGTTGGTCTGAAGCAGTAGAACAAAGTTTGAGTCCAGTGGCATCTTTAAGACCAATAAAGTTTTCTTCGAAGTGTAAGTTTTCATGTGCAAAGCACACTTCTTCAGACAAATTGGAACAAAATCTCCTCAGGGGTTACTTACAGGAAAATGTACGTAGCCCTTGAGGAGATTTTGTTCCATTTGTCTGAAGAAGTGTGCTTTGCGCACGAAAGCTTACACTTCAAAGAAAACTTTGTTGGTCTTAAAGGTGCCACTGGGCTCAATTGTTCTATGACAGTTGAAGCAGCTTGAGAGCCCAGCTAGACCAGTCTCATCACAGCTGGGAAACTAAGCAGAGACCACCAAGAAAGACCGGGGTTACTGTGCAGAGGAGGGCAATGGCAGACCACCTCTGCTCATTTGCCTTGAAAAGCCTCGTGGTCCTGGGGTCGCCATGAGTTGGATGTGACTTACTTGACAGAATACAATTATTATTTTAGGACAAACTTGCAAAGATGTTGCATCAGAGAAAACAACTGCTGCAGCCAAAATAACTGAGAGGCTCATGGCCCCTTAAAGACTAACAGATTTATTGTAGCATGAGCTTTAATGAGCCAGAACCCGATTTATACGGAACAAAGGTAGACAATCAAGCAAGCAGTGATGCATTATATTCCTTTGCATTGCCTATGCAAAATGGCTTCCTGCATTGAGGTACGGTCAGGGAAAAGGTGCTTGGATTTTGATGGAATATTCTCTTTTGCTCCTACAGTACACTGCACTGCAGTACAGAGCTGGGGGGTTGGAATTCTGTCTAGGAAAGGGCTCCGTCTCACTCTGTAGAAGGCCGTCTTCTCTTTAACAGGTCTTGCTCGCGTCTCAGTTAACCCCTGGGATTCTTTCCTGTAGGTGAGTTTCAGTTTGCCATTGCTGCTGACAACAATGCAGAGTTCTGGCTGAGTGGAGATGAGAACGTCTCTGGCATCCAGCTCCTGGCCAGTGTGGGCAAGGTATCCGTATCCGCTTTCTCTCTTTCTTTGTTTTAATGTCTTCATCTTCTCCTGGAGAGAAACAAAGAGATCCGTTTTTCATGCCTCACTGCACTCTCAAACGTTTCCCATGGCAAAGTCATATATCATTAATGCTACCCCTAGGGTCTCCCAGGGGGGAAGGTAGTTTCAGATGGGTAGCCATGTGGACCTGCAGTAGAAGAGCTGGATTCGAGTCCAGCAGCGCCTTAAAAAGCCAACAAGCCCTGACCTGGATAGCCCAGGCGAGCCCGATCTTGTCAGATCTCGGAAGCTAAGCAGGGCCGACCCTGGCAAGTTCCTGGATGGGAGACCTCCAAGGAATGCCAGAGGCAGGATGCAGAGGTGGGCTAATCAAGCCACCTCTCTGAAAAACATCCAAGCCCCCAGTAGGGGTCACCAGACGGCAAACTTAACTTCCAGGCAAGCACACAAGCATAGACAGAGAGAGAGAGAGAGAGCACAGGGTATATGTTTTGAGAATCAAAGCTCTGAGACTCGCCCAAACTGCCTTGTATGAACGGGGCCCTTGTTGGTCTTTTATATGCTACTGGACTTGAATCCAGAGGGAAGAGTGCATCATATGGACCTTCCATGACCCCTCTGATAACAATCACAGTTGTTGCTGGCTGCATGCTTTGTTCAGATAGGTGCACTGGCTCCTGCAGTGTATATCACCCAGGACCGGCCTGTTCCTCCTTGCCCCCACCCACGCTGCAGGGCCCTCACCCAGTTCCCTCTCCTCACTTGCAGAGATCTGCTGCTCTTTTGGGATCTCTCACCCCAGGAGAAAGCTATGCCGACCTCTCCTGCCTACCCTTCTGCACCAGGTTTCTCTGCTAGGGTTTCATGTCTCCCTTTTTCCAGGTCCCAAGCCTCCTTTCTGCCCGGGTTCACCTTGGCCCTTCCCTTGCTCCTCCCTGGAGGCTTTCTCCCCACCTGACATAGGGGCCACCACCTGCCAGTCCTGGCTTTTTGCTGGCTGATTCCCTCCTTCCAGGTGTTGAGGGAGGCTTGCTGCCTGATTGGAATGTTTGGCAGTAGCTTACAGGCACCCACCGGCTGACTGATAACCAGAGGCTGCACATCATAGCTGGCCTGACTCCGGTATCTGTGGCCCAGTTGGCTGCCAGTCCCACCAAACACCAGGATATGCCCTGCTGGTCTGGCTTTGGCCACTTGGTGGCGGTGTCCCCCAGATCCCAGGTAAAAGGATCCAGGTGAGGCTGGGGCGATCCAGCAGGGCTGAGCCCCACACTACCCATTTATGTTTGGTAGCTGTTCGTATAGAGCCAGTGTGGTGTAGTGGTTAGAGTGTCGGACTAGGATCTGGGAGACCCAGGTTCGAATACCCACTCTGCCATGGAAGCTTGCTGGGGGACTGTGGGCCAGTTATACTCTCTGACCCTAACCTGCCTCTCAGGGTTGTTGTGAGGATAAAATGGAGGAGAGGAGAATGATATAAGCCACTTAAGGTCCCCACGACAAATAAGGCAGGATATAAAGTTAAATAAATAAATATTCTTTTAATGGTTTTCTGTTAAGGACATTCCCACCTACTCATGCGGCTTTTTAACATGGCATCCCACAATGCACTAGACGTTACCTGTTGATCCAAGTCAGTAACAGTTGCGAAATCCTGCTGTGCATACATTTCTGCCTCCTCGTGTTCTCTTAGGGGACTGGAGATGAGAAATGCAGGAGCGCTGCAGAAATGAATATTAGTGAGGCCTGGCATACAAATCTCAACGACTCCAAATATGAACTTGTTCACTGATGAACTGGTGGGAGATTCCTGCCTTTATCTTGGGGAGGGAGCAAGTAGTGCGGAGTCGCTTTGCAAGTGGGTCCTGGAAGGTTTGGAAACAGCCCTCCCCTCTGAGAAGTTTGAGAACCTTTGAGCTACAGTAACAGAAAGGGGAGCCGTGTTGATACATGCAAATGATGTGTTTTGTACAGCTTGTCCAAGAGCATCCTGTTAATTCTTTAATGCAGGGATGGCCACCATATGTTGCTGCCCTACCAAGCCTGGGGAGCTGTGGTGGCTCAAGTGGTTAAGACGCTGAACTGCAGGCTGTGGAAGGTCAGTAGCTCAGCAGTTCGAGACCCGAGTGTGCCGCATGATGGAGTGAGCTCCCGTCTCTAGTTCCAGCTCCTGCCTTGGGAAGGTAACAGCGTTCCGTGCGCCTTGGTGTTTAGTCATGCCGGCCACATGACCACGGAAACGTCTTCGGACAGCGCTGGCTCTTCGGCTTTGAAACGGAGATGAG